CTTCCCTATGGAAGTATAAACCTCTGTATAAAACTTTGCAAAATTTAGATTTATTTCCTTTGGATCGGTTATTATTATCCCCTCTTTATTCTTAATTTGATATATGGCGCTAGCAGCTTCATGTTGTCTTAGTTGCCGCGCCAGAAGGTTATGGGGTTTATCACCTAATTCATAGTATCTTTGTTTAACCTTACATAATAATTTTAGTACGATAATAGAGAATTGTATTCATACTTTAATGCAATAATTTCTTTCAGTAACTCAGTATTTGGGCTATTTTTGTGTAAGCTTTCTTATCTGGTAAGAGTACTTTCTATTTCAGTCATTCTCATCCTAACTTTCTTCCTTTGAGCTATCTCAAATGCTATTATTTCCCCTCTAACTACAGCCTTCAATGCCTCCCATAAATTTGAATCATGCACATCACCATTATCATTAATTTCTATAAATTGCTCTATCTTTTTTTCCCAGATTTTTATTAAATTCTTCATCCTTTAAGAGCGCGTTATTTAACTTCCATCTAAATTCTCCTCTTAAATTATCTAATCTAAGGTCAACTGACTGGGGAGCATGATCTGATATTATAATGTTGTGATATTGTGACTTGCATGCATTTGGTACTAAATTTGAATCTAGCAGAAAAAAATCGATGCGCGAATATGACTTATGCACATGAGAGTAAAAAGAAAAATCTCTATCTGAGGGGTTAAGAATTCTCCATATATCTACAATGTTTAGGGATTGCATATACTGTCTTAACATTGCATTAGATTTAGATGTCGCGCTGGCAATCTGACTCGGTTGTTTATCAAGTATGTTGTCCAGCACACAGTTGAAATCACCTCCAATAATTATATTTGATTCAGAAATACTGGGGATTATCTTAAATACTTTTTGAAAAAATAGGGGGTCATCATAATTTGGTGCATATAAATTAACTAAAGTAATTTGCTTCGAATTTATAGAGCCCAACACAATAATATATCTACCATTTATATCAGAGATAGTCTTATGATGAACGAATGGTACGTTCTTGTGTATCAAAATAGCCACACCAAAAATATTTTTTTATATGTATATAATTTACATATATATATATATATATATATATATATATATTGTGAGTGTTTCAAGTATGTGCATGCGTTTACTCAATGCTGGGTGACTAACTGGTTTCCTAAAATAATTACAAGTGTATTGATACTATCAGTCACTTTCTCTAACAGTAGCACATAACACATCTGTTTTAGAGTATAGAGCATACAAAAGGTCTTTTTTTATTTCCCTTTCCACTTGAATATTTAATGTCTCATTTGTATTTCAACAAAAGAGCCACTTATAGGCAATCCGTTCAATTCTGCCATTCATATAAAGACTCATATAAAGGCTACAGTAACATTCACTATTATTAAAATGAATAATGTGTAACCCTGCAGAAAACTGGTCTTGAATTCTCTGATTAATTTCATGCAGTATGCGTTCATTCGACATTTGTGGAGTCATCTAAAATAGTCTCTGCGGGATTTTAATCTTTGTATTGACATTCTCTCTAGTTGTTTTCCAGTAAGTAGAATGTACTGGTAATCAATAACTGAAGACATAAATCAATAATCACAGTTGATGATCCCTGAAAATAGAGTTTTTCCATCAGTAACCAGAAACAGCATTCAGCATATCCTCATAAATTCAGCACGACACTCATCATGACTACCCATTTGCAATAACTGGTTATATTCAAAGCAATTATAAAGAGAGTCAATTCAACATGCCTCATCTGAGAACAATGCAACATAATAAACTCATCTGTGTTTGTGCTTTGAGTCTCAAGGATGCAAGCCGTTTTGGTTTAACATGGAAATATACATTCTGTTTATTTTTATTTTTTATTTTGAAGATTTAAATTAGTAGTTGTGGAACTACAGGTGCTTAAATACAATGTTTATGCATTGTTGGGAACTCGCTATTAAATAATGTGTGATGTCATTACATCACTACGTTTAGTCACATGACACACAATATCCAATGAGCTTTAATGGTATAGTCGTATTAAGTGACTGTATTGCTTCAGAAGACTTTTATTAAACTGCTGCAGTTGTATTAGACATTTGGAATGACTTCCTAAATGCCCAAATGCCATAAAGTGACCTTTAACAGTCTAATAGTCAGTCATTTACACAAACTTGCATTATTAATGTTACTCAGTTCAACAAAACAGTGCTTTCAACATAATCGCAGATCAATCTGTAATAATTATTACAATTGATCTTAAATGGGCAGAAACAAAGATGTTACATGTTTGATTATTAGTATTATTAGTATTGTTGTTGTTGTTATTATTGTGGTTGTTGTTGTTTTCAACAGAGTATTTATGCGATACTATATGTCGGCCTAATATTTTAATTATATTATACAGCAATATTTATTTTTATTACATTTATTATTTATTAATATTGTTATTTTATTAGCGCATTTAAACTATATAACATGTCATACGTGATATAATAACATTAATTACATTATATAGTAACATTATAAAACAATATTATTTTATTAGCTATTTAATATGATTATATTTAATAACAGTAGTTATTAAATGATAATAATTATTATTATTATTACAAGAAGAAGAAGTAGAATGACATTACTAATAACAAGCGTTTGAATTGTTGTTGTTGTTGTATCTGTCACGGCATTGTCAGTGTTAAATCTGTTTTGAGTCTCAGATGAATTCACAGCGAACAATTCTCCAAGTGTGGCATCGTTCCTTCGCGCATGCAGCTGCACACACACTCTCTGACTAACACACTCACACTCTCATGGCAAGCAGAGGGGACGCTGTCTCTGTTATGGACTGACAGAAGCACTGCTTTCCTCCTCCTCGCAATCTTGCGAAATCACCCATGAATTCTCTCGCGTAAAGCGGCGCGAGCGTCCAGCCTCTTCCGTCTAAAAGGGTTAAAGAAAAGAAACCTCACCATAAACAGCATGAGTAGCTGCGGTTTCCTGAATATGGCGACGATAGGAAATTTCGACCCGCTCAGCGCCACTATTCCTGCCACAAAAATTGAGATTACAGTCTCGTGCAGGTGAGGAACGTTTACGTACCGCTCACACCTTTACGCACAGCTGCCCTTTATTAATATTGCGTGTGATGTTTTAACGGAACGTTTTGGAGAAGACGCAATTACGCATGACATTTTGGCACAAAACCAGGTTATAACCCGATTTCTTCCAACAATATCATCCGTAAGTGTGTATATGTGTATATTTTAATGGAATATGTATATATTTCAATCGTACTTTTACTCTCGGAGTTTCTCTAGCTGTCACTTTCTTTCGCACCAAAACAAATGCCATCCACACCGCTTCTCGCACCAGCTGTTAGTTAAATGCCTAACGTAAGTTTTGTTTTGTTTTGGAATAACTGTGTGGTGCTTTACAACTTCAGAAGTGGCATTAATTGCTTTACAGTTTGATTAAAGTTGGATTTTGTAATGATTATGATTTGCTTTTGCGTGTGTCATACGCGTTTGTTTTCATATCATGATGGGGGCTTTCCATGGACTTATATTGTTTTATACAACACAACTATTATTTTCCATCCATAAACGATATGAATGATTATATTAATGACATTTTTTATCCATAAGTCATAATTTGGTACGTTTATTAAGCCGTTCTTATGTTTTTATTTAGGTTTGCTATCCTTTAGTAGTATTTGTCTCCACAATGTAGGAAAACCTGACCCACACACTTGTTGTTATATTATTATATAGACTTTATTTCTATTGTTTTATATTAAAATAATTAATTACTATTGCTACACATTGTGCTTCCAAAAAACCTTTTGGCGTTTAGATGATTGATTGATTGATTGATTGATTAAAGTTTGCAGAGCCACTCAAAAATATGATAGGTTGAACTGAACTTGCTTTCTTGATTTAAAGTTGTTCAAGAATCTTTTATCATCCACAATCTATTACTGTTACGATTCATTTAGCTAATTTCAAATGTAATTTTATTAAGTAATCATTTACATAGTGTAGGATTACTGGTGATTTGCCTTTTGAACTCACTCTCCCATGAGAAACAAGCTATTTGGAGAATGATTATTATTTCATATCTCATAACAACAGCCTGTTGGTTTTGGTTTAGCTGGGAAATTATGGCTTTAATAAAGCAGGAAAAAAAAGTTGTTGTGCACTTAGAGATTGTTCAAATGAATAATTTATGTGTATAAGTTTGTGATGCATCTGGCTTCGCTTGCGTAAACAAATGCGAGTGGGCAGGAGCTGTCCGCTCAGCCATTGTGAAGAGATGTTGACGGTGAATTACTATGCTCCATGTCCCCTTGGGCGGGCTTGCACAACAGGGAATACACACACACACACAAACGTGCACACAATCTAGGAGCTATTTTGCAACACTGCACTGGGTGGGAAGGGAACAGTAGTGGTGCTATGGTTACGATCAGGTGCATTCCTCTTCTGTAGGGCCACTTTACCACTGTCACCATGGTTATCATGGCAGATGAGCAGATAGAGGAGAGTGTCTGTATTCATAAGATCACAGTAAACCCCCTAAAGTAAAATGCAAATGAATAAGATGCAAATTACATTTAGTGTGTAGTGTTGTGGATATTTCAAAGCCCACAGGTGTGTTGTCAAGTTTTCAGGTTGTCGAAGTTAGAGTTTTTTTTTTAGCTGTAAATTAAGTTTCAATGTGACCAGAGTTCAATTTTCAGCACGAGCGGTTTATTGGCCATGTAATTATCTAAACTAGAAGCGCATGTGGGTGTTAGGTCACTGTAATCACATACAAATTGGTGAATGGCTAGAGAATTTCCAACCTGACTGGTTTACGCTGGTTAAATACAGTCTGTTTTAAAGGGCTTCATAGAGATGATTTAGGAGGAACCTGCAGATTTAGTTGTGTTGTTTGTTTGGACACTTACTTGTAGCACACATTTGTTAGTTTTTTTCCCACTCATTTATTACTCGTTTGTTCACCCGTTTATTGTTTGCTCGTTTATAATTAATAAAACTTAACAGTCACTACAGCAGTGGTTCCCCTCTCCCATGGTATGGCACGCCCAACTCGGAAACCTGTTTCTAAAGAAAGTATAATAATAATAATAATCATCATCATCATTATTCCATTTCTCTGTTGCAGTAGTAGTTATGCTTATCAAAAGGTGGAGCATATTGTAGCTATTAGTGCTGTGTTCGATACATCGATACGACGATGTATCGTCACAGAGATCTGACGATACAAGTATCGATACAGCTGGCCCTGTATCGATATCACGGCACGTGCACTGCAGTGGACCGCGCTAAATTTGAATACAAGAACACCGTTTAAAACGGAGTAGAAAAGTGCAAGGTTTCTAAATAAATATAAAATAGAGCATAATATATAGGCTACAACGAGGTTTAATCTGGCCACAGAGGAACACAACTGGGTTGCCTGATATGAAGAGACGTAATCCCCGAAACAGAGCTTTACACTTGCGCAATACGGAAATAT